GTGTAGAGGATCAGGGCCAAAGGGACCATGGGAAGGGAGGGGGCGCAGTCGAGAGCAGAGGTCTCAGCAGAGAAGACAGGAGGGCGGGGCCCACGGGCAGCCTGACTCCCAGGCTCATGACCTTAGACTGTGGAGCTGAGAGAGACTTAGAGGGGTCTCCCAGGCCAGAAGCCGAGGCTCCGGTTCTGCCACAGTAGCCCCCTCTGCTGGGCCCCCTCTTGTCTTTGTAACCGTATTATCAGTGCTGATCAGTAAACTGAGGCATTTCCCCGCTCAGGGAGCATCACTCAATAAAGCCAGACCTTGATGACACCACAGAGAAGTTAGGGATGAGTCAGAGTGAAGCAGGGTTAGTGAGTTTAAGTAGAGAGGAGAAAACACGTGATGGGGGGGAGGATGCCCCCCCAGGCTTTGGAAGATCATCACTCTCACCTGCCTTAACCATGTCTCTATCCCTGATTTTGCTCGCTTGCTCAAAGGATGTCGTTTATAACCAGCTTAAAACGTGAAAGCAAAAAATGACAAAGTTTTAAAAGTATGGAAAAGACTCTGGGTGGATTTACTTGTCCTAAAGAATGCGCTCTAGTGGGTTAGACTCTCAGAGTTGAGAGAGGAGTTCACACAGGCACAGACACAGTTAAACCCAAGGCCACACATAGTCCTGCCCTGAGGAAGCATGGGCCGTTTGTTGTTTGAGCATCTTTTTTGTTTGTGTTTTATTGATATAGTGTTTCCCTGTGTAGAACCAGGATGCCCTCAAACTCAGAGATCCACCTGCCTATGCCTCCCGAGTGCTGGGATTGAAGGCCCGCACCACCACCACCCAGCATGTTTTGGTTGGTTGGTTTTTGAGACAGGGTTTCTCTGTTAGCCCTGGCTATCCTTGACTCTGTAGACCAGGCCGGCCTCCAACTCACAGAGATCCACTTGCCTCTGCCTCCTGAGTGCTGGCATCACAGGTGTGAGCCACTTAGCCCGGCTTCGCCCAACATGTCTTAACATCTTTGCTTGAGATATTTTTTTAGAAAAGGGAACATTGTCTCTCTAGGTAATCTTCACAGTGAAGGTTGTTAAAGCTCTACTGAAATTCTTTGCTTTCAGCTGATGAGAAAGTCTGAGGCCGATGACCAGAGTTCATTAGTGTTAGAGCATGTGTGTGTGTGTGTGTGTGTGTGTGTGTGTGTGTGTGTGTGTGTAGCCACACTCATCTTCACCCAGAACCACAAGACCCAAGCAATACTTACTTATCTCTGACCTTTAAAGGTCAACAGTGATTTTTTTTTCCTTTGTCACAGACAAGTGACCCTCAGCAAAAGCTTTGGCCCTTCACTCGAGTTTATGACACAGAACTACTGTGTCCTCACACAGTATAGAAGCTGAAGGGGTTAAACGGCTTCACTACAGTCCCGGGGCTCTGGGCGTTGGTATCTGGGAGGCTGGAGGGAGGGTCTGAGAGGTGTCTATCATCCCCTCCTTCCTCAAACCCCTAGGATCCAGAAGCATCCAGGAAGGCAGAGCTGGGAGAGATGGCTTCCTTCCTGGGTCGGGCAGACCCGTGGTACGAAAGCACCATCAACACGCTGTGCCCCGCCATCCTCAAGCTGGCTGAGATGGTAGGAGTGGGGAGGAGGGAGGATTGGAAAAGAGGAGGAGGGGAGGAGGAGAGGGAGGGGGGAAGGCAAGACAAAGTGTGAGTGGCGTGGAATGAAGATGGAGAAATTTTAAAAAGCTCGGACGGGGAGGGAGGTGGAACCAGGAGAAGACCCTCAATTAGAGACTGTATGTGACCCCTGACCCCAGGGTCAACACCATGGGATTTATTCATTTGGTTTTCACAGAGGGTAGGATCTGATGTCCCCAGGTGCTAGCGTCACCATACTTACATTTCCATTTTACAGGCCAGGTAGCTGAAGCAGAGAAAGATTGCCCAAAGTAGCAAAATAAGGTGTGACACGCTGCCCCCTGACCTTGGAACCAGGAGGCCTGACCGCAGGCTGCATCTGCCATCCCTTGCTCAGGCCAGACAGGGGCAGGATAGAATGGGGGCAGGGCATAGCTGGCTTGAGGGAGCCTTTAGAGATTCACGCTGACACCAGCTTGCTGACACAGAGGTTGCAAAGGGTTTGGTTTTTACACTTGTCATTTGCCCATCAGGTTTTTTTTTTTTTTTTTTTTTTTTTTTCTGTAGGGCTTAATGTTTTCTGTTGTCAGATGCAGAACTTTTATTCTTTATGACTTCTGCCTCTGGAAGCTTCTTTAAAAAAAATTCTGTGTGTGTGTGTGTGTGTGTGTGTGTGTACGTGTTTGTGTTTAGAGGACATGAATGCCACAGCACTTGTATGGAGATCAGAGAACAACTTTACGGAAACAGTTCTTGATTTCCACCTTTACTTGGCTTCTGGGGGTGTCTTGAACTTGGGTCTCCAGGCTTGTATAACTCACTTTGCTCTGAGCCATCTTTCCAGCCCTGAGAGTCTTCCCTCTTAAGACGGTAAGATTGCAATAATCAAACACCTTTACAGCCTGGACTTTTACATTTAAATAATTAAGTAATTTAAATGTAAAATAATTTTAGTCCTTCCTCTGAGGTGCGTGTGTAATCTTGCTTTTTCCAAAGGTTTGGCCAGTTATCCCAAAGACGTTAGTTGTATAAACCATGCCGACACATCCATTTGATGTTCTGCTTGTGTCCCTGACTGCATTCTAACGTCTGTGTGACAGTATGTCTGGGAGCCTGTGTTTTTGTGGATCTCTGTACAAATCAATATGGTTCTGTTTTGATACTAGGAAGGGTAAGCCTACAATGTTATTTTTAATTTACAGAAAATATCAGAATATCCTAGTGTACCTTTTCTGACAAACTTCAGGATTTGCATGTTATTTTTAAATTTTTTATTTATTGACATTAACTATTTATTTTATTTCTTTTCATGTGTGCTTGCACACATGGGCAGGTGCCTGTGGAGGCCAGAAGAGGGCATTAGGTCCCTTGCAGTCAGAGTTACAGGCAGTTGTGAGCTTCCCAACAGAGATGCTGGGAGCCTAATCCTGGTTTTCCAAAAGAAACAGCAAGTGCACCCAACCCCTGAGCCTTCTCACCAGACCCAGTTTTTAAGATCTGTTGGGATTTTGACTAAAGATCAAGAATCAGTCTCTTAGCTCTCCCTTGAAGATGACCCAGGCCTCAAAAAGTCTGAGTAGTTTTTGCCCCAGGCCTCCGGGTAGTGAGCAACCAGTCCAAGCCTAGAAAGATATAGGTTCTGTCATCATTACTTACACCTCAAGCAGCTAGCACAGCTTACAGGTCAGTAGCAAGTGAAATCAATCAGGTTCCCTGAGAAGAAAAAGTCTCGCTAGAAGCAGTTTGTATTTTGGTTAGAAGTAAAAACCGGGTGGCCGGGAAGGCTTGGGGCACGTTGAAGGATTGGTGAGATTTGGACAGCACAGAGCATGTGGAGGCTTTGGAGTCTCTCGCTGAGACGATGGTGCCCTCCCCTGGAGCCTGGAGGTGGGTGGCTGCTGAAGAACCTCCCTGTTCCTCACAGCCTCCCTGCCTGGACACATCCCGGACTGTGGACCCCTTTATCCTGGATGTCATCACGTACTACGTCCGCATGGGCAACCAACCCATCTACTTCCAGCTCTACAAGGTGAAGGTAGGTTTTCTCCGTGGGGTTCCCGGGGCACCATGCCAGCCTGCAGGGCACCGCGTCAGTCCTCTGGCTCTGGAGAGATGCTGGTCTGCAAATCAGCTCCTGGCTGCAAATCAGTTCCTGGCTGCTCTTAGCAACCCCGTCTTCATAGTGTCTGGACAAACCAGCTCGTTATTAACTTCAAAGACCTCAGATTCAAGCAGAAAGCTGGGAGCCAGGGGTAGGCTGTTCCGGACTTTCTTCTGTCCCCTGGTTACAAACGCCCAAGGCACTCTCATTTTCTTTCTTTAGCCTCTTGGGGACCTTCAGATCCCTGTGTTTCCTCACACCCATCCTTCCCTCTCACACCTCTTTTTCTTTCCAGCTAGTCAGTTCTTCATCAACTACTCTGTTGCCTCATTTTCCTGTCTCTCTTCCCAACAAAACCCAAGCCTGTAGCAGTGGCACCACGTACCCTTCTGAGGTCCACCTGGAATAAAGGCTCCAAGGCCATTTGGCCTGGCATGTCTCCTCTTCCTGGTGTGTACTTTCATCCTGGTCCATGGAGATCCCTGGCCGGTTTCCTCTTCCTCTGAGGCAGAGGCTGTTTGTCACCTCCCTTCAGCAAGCAACTTTCCCACCATTAGGTCCCCCGAATGTCCTGCACACCCAGAATGCATCCCCTCCATTCCAGTCCTCACAGGACCCCTCCTGGCGTATGCGGACCTCCTCCTCCATTTCAGAATGAGCTCCTCCATCCAGGCCCTCGGCCAGAATGCTGCACCTTCTCCTGGACCTTCTTTCTTAGCCGCTCACCTCCACTTGTCTCCATCATTTGCGACCGGCTGCCTGAAAGCAGAACCACAATGTTCTGAACCCATTTGAATGGGTGTTTATAACACCAAGTGCTGGGCTTTCTCCTGGCCTCAGTGTCCTCTCCTAGTGTGTTCTCAAGCGCTGTACCTTTGATGGCACTAAATAGTGGGGGAGAATTTAGCTTTCAAGCATTTCCTTCAGTTCTCATCCCAGCTGATGCCTGTGGGTAAGACCCCTCTGTAGGGGCTGTGGTTTCTTCCTTCTCTGCCCTGAGGTTGATCCGCTTTCCTTTGTGGCTTTCTTAGTCGTCCTTACTCAGGAAGTAGCTGGCTCACACCTACAAACTGGCTTTATTCTGCCCCAGGCCTGAGGGCTGAAGCACACGGGTGGACTAAGTCCTGGGTCCAGCACCCAGCGGAGCTGCTGGGTAGGACGAGCCCCCAGACGGGGATGGAGGGATCTCACTGCTCTCCATCTAACCTGGACCCAGCCACTCCTCTAGACTCCTACTGCAGAGCCCTGCTCTGCTCTGCACCAGGTTCTAAGGTTCTGTTTTCGCAGAGAATGTTTAAATATGTTTTAGGCTCAGACAGCTTCAGAGGAAAAAAAAAGATGGTTAGTAATTTACATCATTTGGATTATCTCGGGAGTCACCATCATGCCAGACATAGTGGTGCATACGTGTAATCCCAGCGCTTGGCAGGCTGAGGCAGGAGGATCACCGTTTCCAGGCCAAATTGAGCTGCACAGTGAGACCCTGTCTGAGAACACAAAAAAGGTTCATGGAGGAGATGGGTTTGGTCAGTGTGTAGAGAACCAGGGTTAAAGGTGTTTACTACACAGCAACTAACAGGCATGACAATCACTTCATGTTCCACGCGAGCATGGACAGAAGCGGCTGGAGAGATGACGCAGGGCCTAGCAGCACTCGCTCTTCCAGAGGACCCGGCTGAGGGAACCTCCCCGCGGTTCGCTCTGCCATGACTCCGTCTCAAGGACGCATGTGACACCTGCCCGCACGGGAGCGTATTTCATGCACGTAAAAGAAATCCTTTCTTCCTGGTTCTTATTATTTATTGATTTAGAGACTGGGTCTCTTTTATGTAGTCCTGCTGTCCTAGAACTTGCTCTGTAGACCAGGCTGGCCTTGAACTCACAGAGGTCTGCTGTCCTCTGCCTCCCGAGTGCTGGGATCAAAGGTGTGCACCTTAATTTTAATGCCCCGATTAAAATTAATCTTTAAAAAAGAACAAAGCAACAAGGACAAGTCATACACATCTGTGGCTGTGACGTGTGGCTTCATGATGTGTGCACGTTGTAAAGCTGCATTAACCGGGCTGCTTGGTGTGTACGTTACCTCACCCTACATCTCAGCACACACAACCTCGTGGTGGCTTTTGTTAAGAATATCCTGTGTTGCCAGTAACTGTGGTCACCGTACTGTACTTGCCTTGACCTTGCTCCTCCTTCACAGCTGGAACTTTGTATCTTTCCCCAGGACCTGGTAGATAGCTTGGATCAGCGTTTGTACCTCCTGATTCTTCCCCCTCCATTCTTTCTAGCGACAAGGTCTTTTCAGATGAGCTTAGGATGGGGGAGGGGAGCATCTACTTGGTTACATCGCTGGAAAGGTCAGGACTGAGGTGCTGTCGCCCCTCAGCTCAGAAGCTGGCATTGGCAGATGGGTGGCTTCGAGGACAGAAGCTTTCTCTAAGCTCCTCCTTCCCTCCCTCCCTTCCTCCCTGCCTCCCCCCTGCCCTTTTTCCATCTAGATCTTCACCAACCTGAGTCATGACCCTACAGAGGATGTTTTTCTCACCGAGCTGAAGGTGAAGATCCAAGACTCCAAGTCCCCCAAAGGTGAGCTCCAGCTCCTCACTTCCCAGAGCTCAGCCGGCTCTTCCTCCACACCCATTCTCTTGCCTCTCACCAGATGTCAGGCCCATGGTCACCCTGCTGTGCCAGGGCCACACTTAGCTCTACCTCAGAGCTCTCTCAGACTTCCCAAGACCCTGCCTCTCCATCCGGGAACAGCTGCCAGCAGCTATGCCTTGGTGACACATGGGGAGGGATCTCACCTTACACTACCTCTTATCTCCCCTCAGAGGGTTCTTCACCCCGAAGGAGAGGGGCAGCCGAGGGCCTCGGAGCTGAGCTATCTTTATGCTACCAGAAGGTTAGTGTCCTTGGCATAGTGGACAGGGATGCAGGGGGCACGAATGAAAAACAGCCTGTGGGATGTGAGGCTTGTAGACAGAGACAAAAGAACCATGCCCTCCTTTCTTGACGATACCGCTAGACTCTTTCGGCCTCCGGAGCATTCTGCAAAGATGGAGCAGGGATGAGGGTGATCTTACATGCAGACAAAGAGGCACTGTGCTCTGAGAAATTAGAGGTTGGGTGGGCATGGCAGTACATGTCTTTAAGCCCAGCATTTAGGGAGCAGAGGCAGGTGGATTTCTATGAGCTCTAGGCCAGCTAGGACTAATGAGACCTTGACTTTAAAAAGGGGGGGGGGTGCAGGGATTGAGGAAGAAAGCTGGTTTCTTGCTCAAAAACTTCTTCCTTATGAGCTACCCATCTAGACTGGTTCCTTGGGAACTAGTAATGTCCAAGCCACTGGCCACAGACTCCTTGTTGGTATCAGTACCCCAGGGAGAATCTCAGGGTTAGGGGGGAAGCCTGGGAGATGTGATGAAGATGCAGTGGAGAAGCAGACCCCAGGACCCCCTCTTCTGTTCTTCAATTCCCATCCCCAGGCCCTGCTCAGCCACAGGCCCCGAGAGGTCACTGTTTCTCTGCGGACCACCGGGTTGGTGCTGAAGGCCATTCCAGCTGGTGACACTGAAGGTGAGGAGCTGGAGATGCAAAGGGAAAAGATGAGCGGGACGAGGAAAAAGCTAGGGAGAAAGGAGGCTGCTGGGAGATAGGGAAGCTAAGGTGTTTTGTGTTTGTTTTTTTTGGGGGGGGAGTGTCTTACAACTTGCTGTCATCACAGAGTCCTGGTTAGGAAGAGCTGAGACCAGCTGACTCAAGCAAAGCAAGACCCCTGCTTTCAGGTGGTCCATGCTAGATAGCCTAGGCTCTCCCACCCTGGGGACTGGCCTCCACAGCTGGAAAGTAGAAGGACCCAGGGTTGGGACAGAAGGCTTCCCCACTCTGAATTAGACCTGCTGAGCTGACAGCTTTCTGATGGGAAATGTTGGGTTTTATATATTGTTCCAAAATAAAAATAAGTGAATAAATAAAATGGAGGGACAGTAAAAAGAAAAAAAAAAAAGTCAGCTTAAAAAAATCAGCTTATGGGCTGGAGAGATAGCTCAGAAGATAAGAACACTGGCTGCTCTTCCCAAGGCCCTGAGTTCAATTCCCAGCAACCACATGGTGGCTCACGACTGACTGATCTGTAATGAGACCTGGTGCCCTCTTCTGGTGTGCAGGCACACATGCAGGCAGAACACTGTATAAATACTAAACAAATCTTTTTTAAAAAATCAGCTTATACAGACATAGCATAGCATCAACATTAGCTTTCATCAAGAGCTCACTGGCCTCCTGGAAGGATGAAAAGATGGCAACACAGAACACACCTTCCAGGAGCTTGGCAGCCCTCTGTCAGGTGCAGGACTTCTGTGAACTCTCGGAGACAGCTGTTGTCAGTGTCCCTAACTCCTTCCCGAGAGGGAACAGAAGCAAAGAAAATAACCTCAAGGCCGCCGCTGCAGGAGACTCAGAACCAAGCCTTCTCACTGGATGGCCCTCTCCGTTGCCCCATGGTGTCTCTGAGAACTACGCAATTCCAGTTTAGGGTTCAGGAATGTGACCCACACGGACTTGGGGAAGGTTGCTTCTGAGCATACAAGGACGTTTACCTAGGCAGAAATAGATCCGCTCCGCATTCTCCCCACAGTACCTAGAACATAACCCGCACATAATAGATGCTGTGTAGGTTGGTGCATCACCCAGGTCTACAACCCCAGCTCTTAGGAGGCCGAGACAAGAAGATCATGAGTTCAAGGCCAGCCTGGTCTAGAGAGTGAGTTCCAGCCAGCCAGGGCTACAGAGGGAGCGCACTTTCTGAAGCTGTAGCGCTGGGGTTTGGAGCGGTGATCACCGTGGGTTCAGAACTGCGGTTGATTCTCCGGGGAAGGGGATGGGAAGCCTGGAGCGTGGATGGGACCAACCTGAAGCCCTGAAGTGGAGGCCAAGGCTGCCGGGCGGTGTGAACTGGAGGCAGGACAGGAAGACAGGCTCGTGGTGGTCCTCTCAGGACCCAGAAACCCCAGCTTCCCACTCACACGTTTCTCCGCTCACTCGGCTTCAGGGTTCTCCCAGTGCACCGTGCCCAACGCCTCCTCTGCTCCGGGCTGCTCGCGCCTGCGCGTCAGCGTGACGGAGGTCGTCAAGTCCTCCAATCTAGCAGGAAGGTCGCTCACGGTGAGTTGGCATGGACTGGGAAAGGGGAGGGCAGAGCGTGAGGGCGTCCACGGGGGAGGTATTCAGGGAGCCGATGGCGGCCCTCCGCCACGCTGAGGGGCTGTCCATTCCACGTGGGAAGCGCATGGCCTCTGCTGGCTAGCACAGGCACTGAGCCCGCCTTGCACCTGCAGCCTGGCTGCGGGTTGGGACATCCCCTGACAACCACATTTGCTCACACATCCCTGCCACTGCAACCGGACCCCTACAGAGCAGCTCGGTCACCCTCATGGCTTCTCTGACCACCCCGTGCCCCCTGGCTTTGCCTTGGCAGGTAGTTAGTGATCAATGATAGACTCAACTCATTGTGCCCTGGTGGCTTCTCTCTACCTCACTTACACTTGACTTGACCTCCAAGCCCCAAGATCTCACCTGAGCTGGGCTCTCTCTGCCGTGGATTCCTGTGCGCCACCCACCAGACAGGCCGGTTGTCGGCAGCTCCCGGAGTAAACCCCGCACCCACACTGACCAGGCCCCGCAGACTCCTGCTCACCCAGAGCCTGATGTCACTCAGCGCCTTTCCTGGGGTCCTTGGAGTCTATGTTCTCTTTCTCCGCCTTTGGTCTCTCCCTGTCCCAATTCAGGTCTCCCCTGCATCGTAAAAACAGACAAGAAATGCTACCCGGAAATGCTACCTGGGCCAGTTTTCTTCCTGGCTGCCAGTTGCAGCCCTTTTCTCCTCTCTGGCCCAAGCTTTTACAAAGAAACTCCTGGGGGTTTGAGGTCCTTCTGCCTTGCTTTGCTATTAACCCTTGCATGCTGCAAAGCCAGGGGTCCCTTTTCAGTCCTTCCATTTCTTCATTGCAAGGTGATGTTTTCAACTATAGATGAAAAGCTTCATCGTTTATTTTGGAAAATGTCAAAAGGCAAAGGAAGTAAGTTTACCAGGAATCCCAGTGAATGGCTAAGAGGGCTGGCAACACTTTTGAGTATAAATACTTCGGATTTTTCATTATATATATTTTTGTATAATTGATAGATATGGTAAATAATGGTTTATAGTAATGCTTTTGCTCGAAAATAATCTGAAAGTAGGATGGGATGGTGGTGCACGCCTTTAATCAGCATTCTGGGAGCAGAGACAGAGGCAGAGGCAACCAGATCTCTGAGTTCAAGGCCAACCAAGTGAGACCCTGTTTAAAATATAGCTAGATACAGATATCATATATTTCACATAATATATATGTGTATATGTGAAGACTTTGTGCATATAGCGTGATGAAGCCTTGTTGGTGTCATCAAATGCTGTTTTATAATGTTTGCACATATTTGAACGGTTATTGAAATGGTTTGTGCGCGGTTAAACGGTCTTCTCTCACTGTTATAAGCATACGGAGGGTAACACACTTAGGGTTACACTTTAAAACCTCCCCTAGCCAGCTGGCATCTGTACCTCAGGACATTTTACCGCACTGGCCTCTAAGCTCCGCCGCCATGGCGTGTGTGGACGCCAGCTTCCGGAGGCAGTCCACGCGCTGGCTGACTTGTTTCGGCTTTGTGAGTCTGATCATCAAAATTCCATAGTTTTAGACTGGGTTCCTGTCACTCCAAATAGCGAAGCTGCTATTTCTCTTACACTGACTGATGACTATTTGTTTATTTCCTGTTTACATTTACTCCAGCATCGATACCATGGTACCCTTGTTTTATATGAGGACATCATCCTTTTATTTGGCTCATGTTTTTGAAATATTCCCCCAAATTTGTTCTTTTATCTGTTTTTGTTTGTTCCGCCCGCCTCTGCCTCCCGAGTGCAGGGGTCAAGGGTGTGTGCCACCACCGCCCAGCAGGTCTTTAATTTTTTTAACCTTTATATTTCAATTTCCTGCCTGGGAGTTTGAAAGTGTTCCGGAAGTTGCGCCTTTGGCTTTTCCTGCCTTATCCTTGTCCCCACATCCTTTTTGCCCATGCATGAGGACATCGGGGGCCATCTACGGGGAGGCCTGTCCCTCCAGATCTTCCCTACCGCCACTCCCTGGCGAGCTGGGTGCCCCGAGTTTGTGCTCCCCAGCCCTGGTGGCACAGCTATGGGAACACTACAGCTCTGTAAGTGGCATGGGAGGGGCCTCCTAGGAGCGGGTACTCGGCTTGATGTTTTTAGTGCTCAGCGTACCTGGCACACAGCAGGTCTCAATGAGTGCTCTCTCCAACCACCCAAAGCTTCAAGCACCTCAGCTCTGAACCGGAGGCTCCTTTCCTCCAAGGCAAACTACCCAGCAGTTCGGCAGTGCAGCCCTGATTGCTTAGAGATAATACTGTCTTGGGTTCAGATCAGCCTTACCCTAACGCTGTAAGGCAGGCCTGGCCACCTTCAACTGCTGACTCTTTGGGAGTCAGTTCCTATATTAGCCTCTGCTAGTTGACCCATTGGATAACCGGCCAGGGGCTTTTGGGTGTAAGCTAATCAACCTGGCAAGACTGGCAAGCTCCCGGTTTTATCTCTTGCTGACTTGCTGAGATCCCGGCAGCTGCCGGAACCCTGGCAGGTTTCATCAGACGGTAAACACCAAGCCACAAGTTCTTGGTGAGCGGGAGAAGGTGCTCCCGGCTGAGAACAGCAAGAGCCCTGTGGCTGACTTGGTGGACTGGTCTTTGGCTGGATTGGATGCTCCATAGACGGGGTGAGACCAGCGAGGCAGGGATAGAAGGAGGCGTTAGACGGGGAACACGGTGAGGCCAACAAGGAGCAGGAGCATTTGTCCTGTCCTCTGGCCTTGCCGCTGGCCTCCGTAGCTACATTATAGCTGTGGGCTGTCTCCAGCGTCCACAGCCCAGGAGGTAGGGTGTGCCTTGGCATGCACACTCCAGAGGTACCTGTGACAGACCTGTGGGAGGAGGCAAGTACATGCCTCTGGTCATCTGGAGTGGGAGTCTGGGTCCTGCCAAACAGGAGCGCAGCGCGGCCAGAACCGTGATTAAGAATCAGTTTGCTGTGTCCTAAGTGAGGAGCTCAGCAGGTCGCACCCATTTCTTCAGACCTCAGTCTCTCCACTTGGGTGACCCATCCCCTCAGCAGCTACAGGCGGCTTGAGTGCAGTCTGTAAACTGGACAGCCCTGGCTTCCCCGCCGGGTCATCCCTGTGCCGGTGCTCACCCCTCTGAGGCTTCTCTCGGTGGTTCTGAACGAGACTGGCAACTCCCCAGTGTGGACAAGCATTTGGTTATCTGTCTGGTTGCTGTCCACTGGCCTGCTCAGCTGCCCAGAGCACACCCTTCCCTCATAGCTGAGAGTTCCAGGGAGCCCAGACTGCTTCCGGTTCTGCTGTGCAGCCTGGCCTCTCCTCTCCTCTCTGTCACTCTCTGTCATGGGGTCTGCTCCCTTCCCATCTAATGGAGGTTTGGGCATCTTTCTCCTTCACCCATAGCTTGCTTGTTCAGATTCACGTGAGGGGCGAGGAAGTGGAGGAAAGGGGTTTGGGCTAGGAGGAGGGAGCTTTCCTTCTTTATCACCAGGACCACTGTTTGTGCTTGGACTCCTCCGGAGAAATTGCAGTGGACAATAACAACAATGATGGTGCACATTTTTAACATATAAACACAGTGCCATGTCCCACACACTGTTCTATGCACTCGCTACGCAGCCCTGGCTGGCCTGGAACTCATAGAGATATGCCTGCCTCTGCCTCCCAAGTGCTAGGCTTTAAGGTGTGCTCCACCATTCCGGGCCTGTCCTCTTTAATAATGATAATAATAATAATAATAATAATAATAATAATAACCACCCGTGAGATCCAGCTTGTGTTTCTCCTATACTCCTGGGTGTGGGGCCATCTGCTGGAGGCTTGTGGACCTACCAGGGACCACTCCCTTAAGTAAAACTTACTCTCCACCTCCTAGATGCCATCACCTGTCTGTAGCTCGTCCGTGAGGACTCGCCCTAGCTTGTGTCTGTAGAAAAGGTTTTATTCCGGCTTTTATAGCTTATAGCCCATCATTGTGGGAAGCCACAACCTAAGCAAGAACCCGGAGGAAGGCCTGAAGTGGAGACCATGGAGGAGCGCTGCTCACTGGCTCGCTCAGCCTACTTTCTTACACAGTCCAGGACCACCTGCCCACGGTGTACTGGGGCCTCCCACATCAGACATTTAATAATAATAATAATAATAATAATTTAAAAATACCCCATAGAGTTGCCTATGGGCCGATTGGTGGAAGCAGTTTCCAGGACTCTGCTTGGTGCCAGTTCGCGCACAGCGCCCCTGAACCCCTTCTCCCTCCACACTAGAAGGCTGACTGGCTTGCTCTTGCACTGGTCTCGTGCAGGCAACCAAAGCTGCTGAATGCAGCAGTCCCGTCGTGTCCAGAAGACACCTTTCAGCTCTACTTCTCCCTGGCCACTGGCTTTCACACCTTGTGTGATTCCTATAAGTGTCCAGGGTTGAAAACACTTGGGGGAAACTGACTCCAAGGCTTCCTGGCGCACTGGGGTTGCCTGTGTGGGGAATGGGACTCTGCAAGGCCCTGCTGGAACCCAGAAGGTCCAGAGTGCTATGTTCCATAGGAAGGGCCTCTCTGGAAGTCCCCTCTGTCTGCAGTCACAAGAATGTCTGGTGGCTGCTTTCTCACTGACTCAGTTTTATTTGACCATTTCCTAGACCCCCTGTTTACATCTGCCCCCAGGTAAGGAACTGTGCACATAATTTAGTGCCAAGAACTGGGGTTGCCTAGCAATACGGTTGCCATAGGAGGTGCTTGAGATACACACGGCCACTCTCACTTGATAACCTGACGTGCACTGCCCGAGGCGTTCTAATTTGTATTCACAATAAAGCTTAACGGGTCCAGAAGAGAACCACGGAACCGAAGCCACATCCTAGCGTGAGGAGGAATTTCTGCAGCCACTGCTCAGCCACTAGCAGGAAAAGAGCGGGGACCCTTGGGATGTACGGAGGCAACACACCGGATCCCAGGGTAGGAAGCGCTGGCGGCAGAGCCAGCTGCTGAGCAAAGGTTACATTTACATAATCTGTTTCTCTGATGCAGACAGCAACAAACACCTTCTGGACATCCAGTATCCAAGTCCAGAGCCAAGACCAGAGGCTGCTCACGCTGTGGCTGGACAAGGATGGCGGGCGCACTTTCAGAGATGTGGTCAGGTGTGTGGGCCCTCCTACCCCTCGGGCTCCTGCAGTCTCCGGCTTTTGGCTCAGGGTACCTATCAGGGTCAGATCTGTGGCCTGACAGGCTTTAGGCACCTGCCCTATGACTTGAGGCTAATGCTAAGTGCTCCCAGGATTCCTAGGGGCACCCGCAGCCTGAAAGCAACTCTGTTCCAGCTCCTCTGCCAGCACTGAGCCTCCATCACAGACTCCCCTGTTGGGGCATCTGTACCCCCATTTTGTGACTTCTGCAGGTTTTCTCCGGGAGGTAGATGCAAAGATATAATGACTAGATCTAAGCATCTTCCCCACTATCAGGGAACTTTGGTGCACTTTGACCTCCTGTTCTGGTTTGTCCTTTGTCTTCCTTGAGACTCCTCCTCTGTGCCCCACAACTATTGGTCTGCCTTCTAGATGTGCTGGCTGAACCTGTTCCCTGATTATCTTCTAAGCTGGTCTCTCCCCACTGCAGATTTGAGGCTGGTCCCTGCCCAGAGCCATGTTCACGGGCCCAGAAATCCAAAATGGCGGGCCTCAATTCACAAGGGCAGGAGACAGAAAAGAACATGGTCAAGCCCAGTTCTCTCCTGATGCCCATCAACACGTTCTCTGGCATCATCCAGTGAGCCTGCCGGGACGGTGGAAGGTCTGGATCCAAATTCAAGAACAAGGACACACTGCCTGCCCAACACAGCACGCACACTGACAACCTGCTGGGCAGCTGTGCCTGGACCAGGAGCCAGAGAATGCCCGGGAACTGAGAGAGCCTGGGCTGGGAGGACAGACCCATCCCACGGATGCCGGATTGCCGGATTGCCGGACAGCGCTGGGCTGGACACATGCACACACAAGCCAGCCCCTTCCGGAAACATCATTCCTGTGGCAATGCTCATCTCGTTCCTCATGCTGGCTCAAGCTCCCGGGGGAGTCAGAAAGCTGGTGTCAAATAGCCGCAGCTGTGGCTGGGGGTCGGTGGTAGAGCCCTCGCCTGGTCTATGGGAGGCCTTGGGTTTGACCCTGGTGCCATAAAAAGGGGTGAAAGCTGATGAGTACAACATTTGTACGGAGTCCTGTGGCTGAGGAAGAAGCAGGAAGTGTGTAAGGAGCGCTGTACTGCTTCCTGCTGAGTCCATATGGTCTCCAGGCCATGATTCACCCGTGTCACAGCAGAGAAGACAGTGATAGTATCAATAAAAGCACACTAAAGTGTTTCTGCCTCTCTCTCTCCCTCTGTGTGTGTGTGTGTGTGTGTGTGTGTGTGTGTATTTGGTTAGTTTATTGGTCAATGTTTTTGAGACAGGGTCTCATGTAACTAAGGCTGGTCTTGAACTCCTGATTCTTCTGCTTCTACCTCTATATTATATGGGATTATATGACTAAGCCCCCACACCCATTAGTCACTTGGGTTTTTGTTTTGTTTTTGCCCAGTCTTGTAAACAGGGTATCACACAGCTGAGGCTGCTGATGAACTGCTGATCCTCCTGCCTCCAGCCCTCAAGGGTTGGGCTCAGAGGCATGCATCCCCACCCCCAGCCAGCAAGCCTTCGTCTTTGTTTTAATCTAAGTTGTAATTCTCAGTTGTTAAGTCAGTCAGTAAGGAAAGCGAAGGTTCCAGGGATCTTAGCTCCACACCAGCTTAGGGAGAAAGCAATTGCGGAATCAAATTCATCTACACATACACGCTGGTTGGCAAATGCCCCACCAGCCGGTCCAAAGCCGAATTAGGTGCATCAAGCAAGCCTGGCATGAAAAGTTGACCAAATCAGGCTGGGATGCAGCTCAGTGGTAGAGTGCCTGCCTAGCACACGAGGAGGTCCTGGGTATGAGAAAAAGTTAGTAAATCAGTAGCTAGATGACTGGCCATTTGGGAGGAAAGCCTAGGACACACTAGTGATTTGTGATTTGAACTGCTAGAATCTTCTTTGTTCAGTTGAGAGCTCTGGGGGGGCGGGGGGATCTGTAGCCAGTTCTCATGACTTGGACACCACTGAATTCACCTGGGGAAACCTTTGTTATGCTAAGTAAAGCCATTTCTTTTGACCGGCAATTTTTAAGCATTCGTAGTCACCTCCTCTCGAGAGGGCTCCTTGGTTCAAAGCAGCTAAAAACATCTGGACTGCACTCCCCAACAGGGCAGGCAACAGCCCTATTGGCTGTAGATGAAGCCTTCCACTTGGTGCACACACACACATACACACACACACACACACACACATATTCATATGTATACATACATATATGTATGTATGCCTATGCACCATATATATGTGTGTATATATGCATATATATGTGTGTGTGTGTGTATGTATGTATGTATGTGTGTGTATGCCTATGGATACTGACCTGAGGGCGAGGGATGTGCGGATGTTGTTCACTTTATTCTTCTCCCAGAAAAAGTCCCACCCTGACCCTGACAGTCTCCCTTGCCTGAGGCAGTCCATGCCGGCAGGCCTAGCTCAGGACCGCTCCCAGCCGACCACGGGGCACCACTCACAGGTGGCGCAGGTGGGGCGCAGGTGCTGCAGGTAAGGCCAGCAGGTGTGTGGGCTCCGCCCCCGCCGCGTCTCACTCTTGGGGCGGGGCCACTTCCGGGCGGGGGGCCGGACGTAGAGGTCGGGCAGCCGTTGGCTGGGTGACCGGACGCCCGAGGCCGCCGGAGAAGCAGTCGGGCTTGGTCGGAACCCTGGGCCCGCGACCCTCCGTCCCGGGACATGGAGCCCCGCGCGCCCTGCGTCCAGCTGGGTCCTGTGCCCTTCCGGGTCTGATAGAATCCGGCAGCCATGAGCCCCAACCCGCAGTGGGACGTCCCCAGGGCAGTCCGGGTGGCCAGGCTCTTCCACCTGGTGTGCGGGGTCCGGGATGCCTGTGTGACCCCGTTCCTGACCCTCTACCTGAGGCAACTGGGTGTGGCCCCGCCCCTGGTGGGCGCCCTCATGGGAACCAAGCACCTGATCGCAGCCTGCTGGACTCCCTTCTGTGCCTTCCTGGTCAAACGCTACCAGAAAAGGAGAATGTTTCTGACTGGCTCGTTGCTGGGGTCCGCAGGAGCCAGCCTCCTGATGGTCCTCGTCCCACCGGTGGACAGAAATCTGGCCAACCTCCTTTGTAATGGAAGCGGTTGGGTGGCCACCACCGTCCTACCCCTGGCCGTCACAGACACTGTGACCACAGCCTCTGGCCAGGGCTTAAACCGCTGGGCAGGAGCACCCAGCCTCCCGGGCAGCAGGCACAGCCGAGCCCTGGACACTTCTGGCTTTCCAAACGCCTCTGGTAGAACATTTAGCGGTCTGCAGGCCAATTCCGTGGGCCCTGTTAAAGGAGCCAGCACCACTCCCCAGGCTCTTCATCCCGTCTCTCCTGGGGTGAGAGAAAATTCCCAGCAAGGGACTTTGGAGGTGGGCAGTGCTACCCTGGGTCTACTTCCTGGAAGCGCAGCCCCTGGAAACGCAGTCAGCCTGCCAAAGGTTCAGGGGGATGCCCAGACCCGAGGTCGCTCCTTGAAAAGGGCGCAGTGGACCTTCGTCCTCTCCTTGGGGTTTGTGGTGCTCTGGGAGCTGCTGGCAGCCCCTCTGGAGCAGGCGGCGGACGACAGCCTTTACGAATACCTGGATTTTGTAGACGCCGCTGACAGGAGCAGAGACCTGTGGCTGTGGAGGTTGCTGGGTATGTCGGCGGGCGTGGGTGGCATCGCAGCCTTGGTGGGGCACCTGGAGTGCTTCCTGGTGACCAAAGGCCCTCGGGGCGCGATTCACTTCTACAGCTACTCACTGGCCAGCACCCTGGCCCTAGCAGTGAGCACTGCCTTCCCTGTCCCCATCGACCAGCAGCGGGGGCCCAGCTACAAAACCGTCAAAGCGCTGTCCCTGGTAAGGGGCGACCCCCGCCTCATCCTCCTAGCCCTCACCGTCTTTTGGATAGGAGCCACTGCCAGCACGGTGCAGAACTTCCTGTTCTGGCACATGAAGGACCATGGCAGCAGCGAGCTGGTGATGGGTCTCTCGGCCGCTCTCGGCTTGCTGGGAGAAACTCTGTTTCATCCGGTCAGGACTTCGTTGCTCAGGAGACTGACGCGGGTGGGCGTGCTGGGGCTGGGGCTGGGCTGCCTGGCCCTGCACCTGCTCTACTACTCTTTCATCTGGAGCTGGTGGTCTGTCCTGCCCGTTCAGATCCTGAGCGCCATGAGCAGTGGGGCTCTGTGGTGGGCTGTGGGCTCCTCCATAGAGGACCTGGCCTCCTCGGGCATGGAGAGGCCCCTGGGCACCATGTTTCGGGGTCACTTTTACGCCAGTGGCTGCAGCCTGGGCAGCTTTGTGGGGGGCTTTGTGGTAATGCGCTTCGGGGTGGCTGTGCTCTACCAAGCCTGCTGCCTGCTCCTGTCACTCTGGCTGGCCTTGTTCCTGTCTGTCCAGCCCAGGCTGCCCCAGGAGCGGAGGGTCAGCTACTCAAAGCTGCTGGCTCTGGAAGGAAGTGACAGCAGCGACTCAGAGCAGGGCTCGGAGAGGGACTGGCTGGTGAAGGCCATGAGGGAGGAGCAGGTGGGCTGGAAGATCTGAGAGGTAGAAGCACGCTGATGGGCCCCTGCCCGGGGCTGTGGGGAGCCTTAAGGGAGAAAAGCCATGTCTCTGCCAAAGGCACAACAGTATCTACTCGCTGCGTGGTTTTATATTGTAGTAAAAGGAGGTTTTTACTTTTTTATTCTTTTACGTGTTTGTATATATGTGTGCTCATGTGTGTATGTGGCTGCACATGCCTTCATGTGCCCGTGTGTGTGTGTGTGTGTGTGTGTGTGTGTGTGTGCAGGCCCTGAGACAAGCTCAGGTGTCATCCTCTTTCGAAGCAGGTCCTCCTCCTCGTGCTCCTCACTGGGATTACACACACACACACACACACACACACACACACACACACACGTACGCCACCATGCGTTCCATTTCTACATGGGTTTCAGAAATCAAACTCAGGCTCTTGTGTTTGCAAAGGCAGCTTTAAAATCTCCCCAGCCCAAGATTTTATTTTCTCACTATGCAAACTTTCCAGAGAGAGAAGAACATTTGCCTTGGTCGAAAAGTCCTTCTGTGTTTGCTGACTGTGAGCTAACAGGCTTGCGCGGGGAGAGCTTTCGGTGGAGGACTCTGGCGCCCCTGGACCCAGTGACGGAGCCATGGCAGAAGAGATGCCTGACTTTAAGCTGCTGCTCCAGGAAGGCAGCAGCACCTGCAGGATGTGGAGGCCAGGGGGGAAGCTAATCTAGATGGGTGGGGGCCTTCTTGGAGGTAGGGAAGACGGTAGCCCAGACCTACACAAGCTGTGCTGGGGGCAGTTAATGGCGCCTAGCCCTTAACCCCACCCCCAAGTTCTGCTCTCCAATGTTTGTGCCACGAGCAAAGGACATCGAGAATCCCACAGTCCTCCCCGCATGAGCATGTGGAGATTTTAACATCTGCTTTGATTGGAAGGTAGCATTACTGAACTTGTTCTGACTCCCAGGCCTTTATTCCAGAGGCCAGTTGTTTGTTTAGCTTTTGTTTTTTTATGAGGAGGAGTCTCTCTGCATAGCTCTATCTGTCCTGTAACTCACTTCGGTAGACCAGGCTGGCCTTGAACTCACAGAGATCCACCCAGCTCTCCCTCCCAAGTGCTGGGATTGAAGGTGTGCACCGTCATGCCTGGCCCCAGGGCACAGTTCTCCACATCTAATTCTTTCATGTTCTCGTCAAGAAAATAGAAAGTGGGGAGGTGGCTCAGTGGCTAAAGGCAGAGGATGCTCTCCTAGAGGACCCACATTTGAGTCCCAGTGTCTGCAGTTAGGATGACTGTAACCATCTGTCACTCCAGCTCAGGGATCTGATGCCCTCTTCTGGCCTTCATGTGTGTGGGGACTTCATGCGTGTGGCACACAGACATACATGCAGGCAAACACAAAAAAGGAACGACAAAACAATACGCATAAGGTTTTTCAAAATTAAGAAAACGTATGCTGTCGGATTTAGGGGCCTTGCTGTAAAGAGCAATTCACAGAATGCGAGAGGGAGACACACGAATGCCCACTGGTTGGAGTATTCGTTAGGATTTGTCTGTTTTCGGCTCGTTCAGGGAAGCTTTCTGGACCAGATAACTAACACAAAAATCACCTGTGCCATCAGCAGACTCCTGCGCCTCACATGGGCTATCCAGGAGGAAGGCGACCCAGGGCTGAAGGTGCTCAGCGATGGCCGAGAGAGCCGGTGCACACGCTGGGCCTCAGAGCATGGGTAGACGTCAGAGGACTGTTTTCTAGGGCCGGGTCTCTCCTTTGCGGACTCTGGGGCTTGAACTCCGGTCCTCAGCGAGCACTTTGCCTGCTCTGCTCACTCCCTGGCCAGGGAGTCCTTTCATCTCAGCACAGTGGTGCCCAGACAAATCCTGGGCTGCAGGAGGAAGAAGGTGGGGTGTAGCGGGGTGCAGCCAAGCCGGATGGCCTTCTGCAGGCACCCTGATTCCTGCCATTCTCAGGTCTCTGCTCCGGTCACCCGAGGGAGCCGGCTGCCCCCAGAAACGACTCAGCCACCTGACCCCACCCCACCCCCAACACACACCTGAACGAGCGGATCCCATTTTAAACCTTCAGTTTGCGTACCGGCTGCTCTTTCTGAGGACCTGGGTTTGATTCCCCGCACCCACACGGCAGCCCACAACCATCTGTAACTCCAGTTGTAGAGGCTCCGACACCTTCTTCTGGTCTCTTTAGGCACCAGGCGCCCACGTGGTGCGCGGACATGCGAGCAGGCAAAACAGTCACCCACATGAAGTAAGGCTTTTGTTTGTTTGTTTGTTTGCCATTTTACAAGTGAGAAAACAAAACCTTAGGAAAATTCCACATGGGGTCACGGGCTGAGGCCACTGCTCATCTCCTTATCCCAAATTTGGGGCATTTTCTTCTGTGCCAGAAAGCTCCCAAGTTTAGCTGTCTCTCCAAGTCTGAGAGTACTTAGAAAAAGATGGACTCCCAGGAGTCATCGGGGCCTCCTGGGTGGGGACCAGAATTCTCTATCTCAGCCGCAATCTCCAAGAGGCTCTGATGTGGTTAACCAAGCTCTCGAGCACCCGGTTCCTCTTTTCCCAAGGCTATCTGCCTCACCAAAGGCTTCCCTGGCAGCTACAGGCCACACACCGTGATCTGTGCTAGCTCACTTCATCTCTGCTCACCATATGAGGTCGCCATTTGCATCTGCAGTTCACAGGGGACAAAGCTGGTGGGCAATGTGGTTGAGTCCCAGCTGGCAGGTGGCAGGGTGAGGCTTCAGCGCGAGTCTGCTGTCTCCAGGCCCTTAGACTTCTCTTTGCCTTCGAAGGTGAAAAGTCTTATTTTTGAGGGCTTCTTTATTGCATATTTTCAGAGAGCATGGGCTCTAAGCTGCCCGAGTAAGACCAGCAGGGACGGTCCCCTGGGCTATGGAGCTGGCGACACCGCTCTCTGTGCAGCTACTGAGCACCACGTTGCTGCTACCGCAGAACCTGGCCGGGAGTCAGGCTGACAACTTGGAAGGGAAGGCAGACTATGGGGTGGTAGGCAAACAGGATGAGACTGGGCAATTCCACACTTAAACAGTGGGTATTTCAGGAAGCTTCAGGCAGGCAGGTCGTCTGAGTGCAGGCGTGTTCAGGGGGGAAAAAAACAAACAAACAAACAAAAAAAAACTCATGGAGATTGTGAGATAAGCATATGCAGGGAGCAAGCACAAGGTCAGAGACTAACTGAACTGTGACTTATACTCTCTCAGCTCCTCAGTCACGTAAGTGTCACAGATCAAAGTCAAATGTGATTCTCGGGCACCAGCCCGGTGGCTCTTTGCTATGGCGAGCCTGATGACATTCTGACAAGTCTTGGTTCCAGCCAAGCAGAAAGTAAATAGCTGAGGAGCCGAGAGCTGCCCTTGTGTCCCCCTTTCTTTGGAGTGCGCTTCGTAGAACAGGTAATCCCAGTAGCGCAGTGTCGGGGAAAGTGGTCCGAAGGATTCTGTAGCCCCGAACTCTGGAAAATGCTGGCAATTCTTGCCACTCTTAGAGATGTGCTCTTGGGAGCCCTGTAGTCAGCAGACTTGCTTAGCCCTGTTTGATCTTAACTTCCCACATACAGCTGCATCACAGCCTCTTCCTGTAGGACCACCATCTGACAACATTTGCAGAACCGGTGCTTCCTGGAAGACATTTGGAAAGTACCGAAGTTAGCAGGTTCTGGGTGACCTGGTGCTTAGGGACAAATCTGGGCTTTCAGGCTAGCGAACCTCCCTGGCTCTCTAAGGACTTGACAAATTCATCTCATCTCGTCAGAACACCAGCTTTAGGAAGGGAGCTATGACCAACACCAACTTTAGGAAGGGAGCTATGACCGTGGCCTCAAGTTACAAGTGATGTGGCTAAATTCCAGAAAGGTGGAAGTTCAAAATCATATCTGTCCGACCTTGGAGGTTCCTACTCTCAATGCTATACTAAACCAATTTAGATAAGGCCGCCTCGGGCAAGCAGTGCTTATCTGGGGTAGGGACACAGCAGGGAGAGCTGGTGTGTGGGTTTCCTAGGTGGGATCACAGAAATCAAAAAAAGAAAAGGGGTGCATGCTGCTTGCACTTTGCCTCTGCGCCAGATACCCACATGCAATGATGTTTGCAAGTCCCTCGAGCAATGTTCAGTTTACATCTGGATAAACTGAGGCTCTAACAGACTAACTGACCCAGTTGCCCGGGATCATGGCTTGGATGTAGCTATGACACAACAGTCCCACAGCCTTCTTTTAGCGCCCCTGCCTCTGGGGGGGAGGAGACTTCCCAGCCAGGGCGCTTTTTGATGCTGTCCTGTGGGGTGCTATCACAAAGGGCGCTGAGGACTGAGATGTCTGTTCAGGACTGACCAGTAAGGTCCATGAGGGAAGGCACTGCATCCTGAAAGAGAGAAAGCACTAAACAGCAACAAAGTTGACAGAAATGTGCCCCGGGGGCACAATCAGGATGTTGCCCTGGTCATCGACTAAAGAATGAAATGAGATGAAAGGTTGCAGCCATCATGTGCCCAAGGGCCTAGGAGCTCACGAAGCTGCCTGTACTAGCCCTGAGAGCAGCGCACAGACCTTAAAGGCGCCACAGTCTCTGAAGAGGTGGCTCCGTGCTCCTACAGAGGACCGGAGTGTAGTTCCCAGCACCCATACTGGACAATTCCGAAACTGCCTGTAACTCCAGCTTTAGGGAATACAATGTCTTCTGGCCTCCACGGGCACCTGCACACACCTGGCGCACATACATAAATAAAACTAAAAATAAAAACATTTTATATGTTCATTTCTGTTCTCCTGACCTGGTGACAAGTCTCTGGTGTCATGCAGAGACTTCACACTGAGCCCCAAGCCTGGCCTGTAGGCTAAGCCACCTGTTCTCAAAGCTGAGGAGCAACCTCCCGGGGCTGACTCTTTCTGCCCGTGGTTGGGACTCGAACACGGGGCCCAGAGGGCAGGTAGGCACCTTCAGTGTGAGGACCTCCTATGGCATTCCATAAAGTTTTGCTCAGGTCTACCAACCCCCACTTCGTGCAGCTTCGGGCACCTGCATCCCTCTGAGTTTGGCAAGGGATTGGAGCATCCTCCAAGCCCGGAGAACCCTTTTCTACCTCTTCCCTAAAGGTCGGAGTGCATAAGCCCAGCTGAT